AACAGAAATTGCCAAATTGAAGGAAGAAGGTTTACTCGACTTGGATCTCGATGAAGAAGATAAGGAACAAGCTGATGAAAAGAAGATTGTTCACACAGAAAATGAATGGGGTATTGAAATTGTTGCTGATGAAGTTGAAGATATTGACATTCACTCACATGCTCATCGTCATGAAGATTTATCACACGGTCTCGAATATCAATACGAACATCACAATAAGAAGGTTGATGAGAAGGAATTGGTAAATGTTGAAAATCAAGATTTGGATGAACTGATGAAACAATTGAATGAATCAATGATGTAAAGTTTATTGTACAATAAATTGAATTTTTTCATATTATCAAAGCTCCAAAGTTCAATAAGCTTGATTTTCATTGGGTGTAAAAATTGGGTTTAGTAACTTCAGGTTAGTGGTTCAATAATCTCAAAACAGCCTGTTGTGCATCTTTGGATAATTGATTTGCTGCTTTCAGATACCAGTCCAATGCTTTCTCCATTAGATTTTCACGTTCATACATTCGTCCCAACATAAATTGAGCTTGCGTGTATCCTTTAACAGCTGCCATTTCCATCCAATAGAATGCATTCTCTTTGGATTTTGCAACTCCTTTACCACAATAATATAAATTTCCCAATAAAAACTGAGCTTCGGGAATGCCCTGAATGGCAGATTTTTGACACCATTCACATGCTTTCTCATACGATAGTTTAATTCCATGTCCCTTAGCATATAACAATCCTAAATAACTTTGAGCTTGTGCATATCCTTGAACAGCTGATTTTTCAAACCATTCAAAAGCTTTCTCCAAAGATTGTTCAACTCCTTGTCCATGATAAAACATTATTCCCAACTCTGTTTGAGCTTGTATATGGTCTTGATTGGCAGATTTTTGAAAGAATTCGAAAGCTTTCTCATAAGATTGCTCAATTCCTTGTCCATTCTTATAACGAAGTCCTAAGTTATATTGAGCACACTTGTTGTTTTGATTGGCTGCTTTTTGAAAACATTCACATGCTTTGTCATAGGATTGGTAAATACCTTTACCTTTCAAATACAGTATTCCTAAATGGTTTTGAGCTTGAGCATAATCTTGTTCTACAGCTTTTTCAATCCATTCGAAAGCTTTCTCATTGGATTGCTCAATGCCCTCTCCATTCTTATAACGAAGTCCTAAATGAAGTTGTGAATGCACAAACCCATGACTCGCTGATTCATAAAGTAATTGTAACGATTTCTCATTCGAAATTGGCACACCTAAACCTTTCTGATACATGTGACTCAAGTAATACTTTGACATTGTGGACATTCCAAAATTACAAGCTTTTTCAAAATATTCAACTGCATTTTCATAAGATTTCTCAATCCCAAATCCAAAATAGTACATTAATCCTAAATTGTAAATTGATTTTCCATGATTTCCCTTTGCTGCTTTTTGAAACCATTTAAATGCCCTTTCATATGATGTTTCAAGATGATCCT